AACGTCCTCTTCCCAGGGGTAGAAGACCTTCCCAGAACCTGATCCCACCTGGACCACATAACAGGCTTTCTACCCTGAACTCCCATATGCTTCCCCAGACTGCCTAAAGATGGAAGTGAAGACTGTGAACTGTGGGGGGGTCACCACCCAGTGACTGTGCAGGCCCCCTCAAACAGCACCACATGATCGAAACATCATGCAACACTTTCCTCCCCATGGTTTTCCTCACACCCAGGGCTTCAATAGATCCACAGCAGAAAACAGTGGAAAGAACTATACAGCACAGACTCTAAGGAGGAGCTTATAGGAAAAGCACAACATCAGTAGAAACGAATTAAAAACCTTCACTGAAGAAATCTAAAGGTTCAGGTCGCTCAACCAAAATAGAAAGTGAACATGGTCCAACTCCTAGGCAAATAAATTCACAGACTCACTTAAACCTCCACTAGGGCTAGGGAGGCAGCTCAGAGGTAGAACACTTGCCTAGCATGTGCTGAGCCCTGGGTAAAATTCCAGCACTGCAAACAAACAAGCAAAGACCCTCCACTAAAAGTCAAAGTACTTCATTTCCTAATATCTGATACATCATGTTTAACTTTCAACAACAACAACAAATTACAAGTCAGGTTCAAAATAGGAAAGAAAAGCATTCAAAGTGGCAAAGCAATCATCAGAAACAAAGTCAGATCTGGTATGGTATGGATACTGGAATGATCAGATAAGGGTATTTAAAATAACTAAGGATCCCTGTGCATTAATGGTGAAGCTGTGAGGCTGGAGAGGACGCAGTAACAGGTGGGAAGTGTGAACAGAAAAATTTAAAGGAAAACTACTGCAACACAAACTGCAAACTAACATCAAGGAAGAACGCATCCAATGGGTTCACCATTAGACAACATCACGGAGTAAAGTATCAGTGCACTAGAAGACAGACAGAATCCAAGGTGCTGAAAGCAAAGAGAACAGAAAACAAATATGAGAATGCAACTGAACACCCAAGGTTTGTGGAAGAACATCAAAACCTGTGTGTGATTGCAATGCCAGAAGAGGAAGAAAGGTGATGAAACAGAGGACAGGTTTGAAGTAATAATGGTGAAGAACTTGAGAAAATCAATGAAAGAAACCAAACCACAGACCCAGGAAGTTGAGAAAATACCAAATAGGATAAATTGAAAAAATGTACACCTAGGTATATTATATAGAAAATGCAGAAAAGCAAAGATAAAGGGAAATTTTGTAATGAACCCAAAATTGCAGGGAACACCTTGGAAGAGTTGCAGGAGGCTCCTTGTCAGAAACCATGCAGAGAAAGGAGGTTGGCTGAAGTGCTGCCCTGGGCGCCAGAACAATGGTGTGCCAGGAACAGGGCCCTCTACAGCCGTGGTCCCAAGACTATGTGTCTAGTGACACCATAATCAGCTAAGATGTTTTAAGTACACACGGTGATGACAACATCTGCTAATGATAATATTTTTCTCGAAATGTGTCCTCTTTGTTAAGTGATGTACGACTATTGAAGCTGTTGAAAACAATAAAAAATTCTTACCAATATAGAATTCTCTATCTAGTGAAATTATCCTTGAGAAACAAACAAGAAATAAACACAGTTGCAAACAAACAGAATCTGAGGACTCTGTCCACAGTCAATCCCTGCCAAATGACCAAAGGAAGGTCTTCAGGGAGAAGGCAAAATGATACAGACCAGAAACTCAGGTGTGAGCGAAGGAGGGTTGGGAAGGGAAATAACAAAGTTAACATCACATGCTTTGTTTCTATTAGTCTTCGTTAATCTGAAAAAATGCTGGTTTGTTTAAAACAATGATGCACTTTGTGATTTTAGCCAAAAGGTAAGTGAAGTACATAATAGCAATGTCACAAAAAGAAGGAGGAAAAACATGGAATATTCCATTATGTGGCTGTGCACCATCATGACTGCAGTACGGTGGTGTTTGATGGACTGGAAGAGTGAAGATCCTGTGTAAGAAATGCTAGGACAATGACTAAGCATTCAAAAAATAATAATTAGTTATGGACTAAGAGGAGACCCCATTATGTAAAGTGCTGAACCAAAACCAGAGGAATCAGAAAACAGGAGCAAAAAAATACAAATGTAATGCATAGAAAACAGTTCCTACCATGGTAGGCATCAATCAATACAATTGTATCAATAATCATTCTTATTGAAAATAATACCAATAAAAATGTGGATGGTCAAAGCAAATAAAACAAGCAAACACACAACCATAACTATTTGTTGTCTGTAATAAACCCCCTTTATGAAGACTCAGATTAAAAGTAATCAGATAAATAAAGATAATCCAGCCAACATTAATCAAAGAAAGCTGTAGTATCTATAAATTTCAAACAAAACATACTTACGAGAAGGAAAATTATACAAAGTAAGAGAAAGTGTGATAATACAAATTTCTTTTATTCACAAAGCCTTTAAATGGCATATATAATGTTTTCTAATTGCCCATGCTGGTAATCTAGTGCACAGATAATTTAGCATTGCCTAAAAGAATTAAACCATCAGAGCCAGATCTTTAAGCCAGGATTCCTGTCTCCAACTTCCCCGCTCTTTTGGCTCTGACTTTGTGATCTTTACATTATTTTTTTTTTAAAATAAGGATGGACATTTCCCTTTTCTGTCAGTATAACAGCATAATAATAACAATGGATTTATTATTATGGTATCAACCTTTATTTTATATAATCCCTCCACAGAGTTCACTTGAGAGGAGAGTGAATGCAGTTGTGTATATGTTGTTGTTGTTGTTGTTTTTCCCATGAAACAGTGTTAAAAGTTGAGTATTAACTTATTTCCAATAAGAGATATTTCTTTTGTTAGTTTTCTACTGGATGCATAAGAAACATAGAAAGATATAGTACTGAGGGAACTTGATAGTTTTTTAGGCTGTTTTCCCTTAGGAAATAAATGTAATAAGTCCCAGATGAATAAACAGAACGAGGCAAAAAATTCCTGCTGTCAATCAAGAAAAAAAAATGGAACTCAAGTTTATTCATATATTTTGAAGTTTTCATTTCCTTCCAAGAAATGGCATTAATAGCTCATAATGTGACAGATGAATATGATGAATACTGCAATTGTCAAAGCTAACATGAAAGTTTGCAAGGTCCAGAATAAATTGCATATTATCTTCAGAGTATCAATGGGGGTACTTATGTAATTTATTTGAATTATGCATTTGCAAGATGAAAATGGTAACATATTATCAAATACTTTTTTGTAATTAGTTATTCAAGCCAGGGCACTGGGATGTGAAATGGTTTGTTGCAACCAGCTAGGATTTAGAACCTCACAGAGGCTGCTGTGCCCTGGCTTGGCCATTCACCCTCTGACTGTGGAAGGAGAGGCAGGTCTCTTCACCAGCTTATCACCATAACTGGCATCAGCTTGGCATTTGCTTTAGTCCAAGCCTTTCTGTGATATAATCTTGCAATTACTCTTTCCATCACCTCTTAATATGAAGGCAGTAAGATAAAATGAGTTTAAGTAACTTAACATAGAACAAAACAGTCATTATTACTTTATTTATATATGAGACTGCAAGACAAATGTGATTCTGTCTGCAACATGTGTACACGCAGAAAAATGAAAAATTATATCCCATCTATGTATGATATATCAAAGTGCAAAAATGCATTCTAGGGTCATGTATAACTAATTAAAACAAAAATATTAAAGAACATTAAAATTTTTCAAAAATAAAAATAAAAAAAACTACAGAGTACACATACAGCAGTGGTTTTATCTGCTTGTGTTTTGTTTCCAAACTCCAGTGTGAGCTATTCTAGACGAGACTAAAGTCATGCTTCTGACCCTGATGCACACAGATCACCAAGGCCAAGGCCAAACTCTGCCACTGCTCTTGCACATTTGCCCATCCTCTAGTCTGTCAAACACAAAGGGTGGACTCTGGGCCTACCCAGCAAGCAGGCCAGCACCTAAGGCCTTAATGTGAACCTCTGAGTGGCCACGTACAGGGAAATCCAGTGCTGGATACCAAGAGTCAGACATGTGGTTGATTCAGTAGCCACACCAAAGTAGCCTGTAGTAGGTGCTGATCATACTGAAAGTGCTGTGCTTGGTGCTTTATGCATCCTGACCTGGACACACAGCCCACCCAGTGAAGATCCTCGCAGGCTGACAGGTGGCAGCTGAGACTCGGGGAGTAAACAGCATGAGCAAGTCCCCATGTCTGAGAAGCATAGAGAAGTATGTAAGGTTTCAGCCAGTTCAGACTCTCACGAGGGCTGTTCTTCCACTATTCTGACACCAACAACCCTTGGAACCCCAGGTACAAGGCACTGTTCTCAAGAAGACTGCCCCCACTTCAGACGCCAGCTGTAACTGGGCACACCAGGACAACTGGACAGAAACCCTAGGTGGGCACTCAGCTTACCTCCATATCAGACACTAGAATGATTCACAGAACTCAAGAGTGCTGCCCGTAGGGTTAGATTACTAATAGGATATGAACTAGAACAAGTCAATGAGAAGCACCTAGCTGATGGCTGGGAGGGTGCACCATGCAGACCCTCTGTGCCCCGTTCCAGTGCAACCAGGCAGCACCACCTTCCTGGCATATCAGGTCGTTCACCAACCACAAAGCTCCACCAAGCTTCAGGATGGAGCTGTATTAATGTGCCATTTAACTGCGCATGATTGGTTGAATAATTTGCCACATTATTGCACTCAATCACCAGCTGCTCTCCCCTCTGTGTGGCGGGGCTGGGTCAAACCCCTAACCCTCTGATGACATGCTTGGTTTCCATGGTGATGAGTGCCTTCCTGAGTCATCCCTGAGCATGATTTGGGGCTGGTCTAGAGGGCTCATGAATAGCAGAGAAAGTCCTATTACTTAGGCAATTCTAAGGAATTAGTCTCCTTTCCAGAAACCAGGGACAAAAGCCAATCAAATTCTGTATTATACAAATCGTTCCTCACGAAGACTCCACAGACAGAAATAGATCCTTCCCTCCAGCTGCCTCCTTTGACAGCATTAGGAGTCAGCAGAGCTTAATGAGATTCTCCGAGTCACTCTGGGAGGCAGCCAGGGTCATTCTCATTAGTTAGGATGCAGCCGTTGCCTGTATACTTTCGCTTCCTGTTTGGACTCATGAGTGCAGGGGGTGGGTGTGTGGCTAAGGGGTCCACTGGGTGAGGAAGGGGAGTGAAGGCTATTTTACTCTCTATGAGCTCAGGCTTGCCCCGTTAAATCCGTGGGCCCTCAACTTCCCTGTCTCTGGAACCAGGCTGGGCCTAAGGCAGGGGCACATGTGGGGAGCAGAGAGCCCGCGAGCTCAGGAGGTGAAGCTCCTGTAGCAGCCTCTGGGCGTGTGCCCAGCCTGGACGCACATTAACACCCGATGTCGGCGATGACCAAGGCCTTTCCTCTCATACATATGCTTTGAGGATGGTAATCATACCAGTCTTGGAGAGCAATGGCCCGCAGGGACAAAGCTTCGGTGACGGTCCTCAGTGGCCAGTTCTTGCAACCCGGAGGAAGGGCTTCCAGTGAGCGATACAGGACAAGAAGCAGGAGTTTATTAGAGAAGGTAAGACAAGTGAGGTGAACGCCCAGTTCTGCCTCTGATTGGCGGCCTCTAGGGACAATGGGGTGGCTCAGAGCCTGGGGTTTTAAGGACTGGAGTCCCTTTTGTCCTCTCCTCAGTGGCCCATCGCCCTTGTGTGGTGTATTTCCCCTCTGTAGGGCCCTCAGCAAATTTTCTTTGTGAGGGTCATGATGACCAGTCACAAAAGGAGGGTCCTCAGAACCCATTCCCAAGAGATTATTGTGCAATTGTCTTTAAATTGCCGTTCCCTTTGAGGGGTTATAATTAACTGTGACTGGGGCAAGTTTGATAAACCAATTCCCAGTTGCTCTATGCTTTGCTGCTTAGAGAAAGTTTTCTATTACTCCCTGTTCTGTGGCCCCTGGTTCCTGCTTGAAGCATGTGTCTGATGTTCTGCATTTAAGTTCCTCCCTCCTTGTCCTTCCCCGCCCACCTGCTCATGGCTGAGCTCCCTACTTAGCGCACTTACTAGTGCAGTAGGAGGGTTTCTAAGTAATTGCCTCAGGTTCTCCCTGAGCATCAGTCACTGCTCTTGGTGTGTCACTTGGTTCTCAGTGCATCACTAATTATCCAACTCTGCTGTAAGAAAAGTGCTTCAGTTTACGTCAGAGTCACGGGGGAATTTAGCCTCCTGCCGAGGTTCCACAGGAGGTAGCAAGTGCTGAAAGGAGTGACTCAGGTGTGTCGGGCTCCAAGGCTTTCTCTGTGCCCAGTGGTCTCCGTAGCTCTCTCCACGCCGAGCTTTATCATGTCCGACCAGTTGCCCCTCCTGACTGTGAGTCTCGGGAGGCTGTGTGTGTGAGAAGCTTACTCAACTCATTCTGATATTAATTCAGAAACAGATTCAATTGTTAAAGATTGCTGAGCACTCCTGAGCAGCCACTGTTCTAGGTAGCAGGAAAACGGTGCTGAAGAAAACAGGGAACACTTGCAGGGCCTCCAGGAGGCCAGGGAGGAAGGGAGCCGAGCTCGGGGCAGGCAGCCAGTGGGAGAGGAAGGAGGCCAGGACCACCCTGTGGACGGTGGGTTCATTCCAGGTATTGTAAGAAGTCGCAGAGGCTTCTGGGGGACGGTTTGACATGATCGAGTTCCCCGTTCTGACTACTCTACGGAGTAGACACTGAGGGGACACGGGGAGGGGGCTGTTGAGAAGGAGTGACCTTGGCTGGTTGGTGCAGGGTCCAGGTAGAAGGTGATAGGAACCAGAGTCACAGCGGTAGTGTTTGAGGGGACAAGAAGGGCTTGACTTTGGGGGGTGCATGACTGAGAGGGCTGAGGTAGGATTCAGATGTAGGGGGCCAGAGAAAGGAGGAAATCAAGGCACACTGGCGACTGTTGGCCTCAGCTACTGAATGATGACTGTACATCAATGACCATGTGCACATTGATCTCCTAGGAGTCCAGGCCTCAGGCATCCTCTGAAGTGGTCTCGGATATTGAAAACCGAGCTTAACTCCGAGCCACTGTTCCTTGTTCTTAAGAAGTCAAAGGCAACGCTGCCTCTCAGCTTCTGCAGGATTGCCTGGAGAATGGTAATAATGAGGACAATCGTATTTCTTCATGGGATCTTTCTGTGGAGCACAGAAGCTACAAGGAAAATATATCAGAGTTACAGGGAGAGAAGGTAAGGCATGCTGTTGACCAAATGCTCCATGGGAGGGTAACGTTCAGACTGTGACGACAGAGAAGATGTGTACCACGTTGACCTCGCAGCCGTGGTGGCCAGGGAGCATGCACTGTGCCTGGGAGGGAGACCGTGCAGCAGTGTGGAAGGGAGGTGACTTGGGAGGGGATGACCCAGTCCAGGTGCCACTGAAGACGGACACAGAGGATCATTGGATGGAACCATCAAAACGGAAACAGGTTGCCCCGTGTCTGCCTGGGACACAGCCCTGTGGGGCCCACGGTGCTTCATTGCCCTGTGTGGGGGGAGTGAGTAGCAGAAATTAGACAGGAATCATCAATTCTTTGCTGACTGGGATTTCTAGCCAACCTCAGACAGAGTGAGGGATATGTATGCAAAGCCTTTGGTGTAGTAACAACAACCTAAGTGTGTTGAACCAGACCTCCATGCCAGAAGGTGCTGGGCATTTTTACCTAGCCATCCTGGGGGGCAACCTTAAGGTAGGCTTTCTGCTCTGCAGGCTGCAATAGGTCATCAGAGGCACCAAGAGGTGAGCCAATTTGCCAAGTCACATGACTCCCTCCTGTACCAGGTGGGGTTGTAACTAGGCTCCTTGGCCCCCAGCCTCTGATTTTTCATCTCACCTGGCTGCCTCTCGGCCATTGCAGATGCTTGTTGGATTTTATCATGAACTCCTGACTTCTCCATCTGCTCCACCTTATCATCTCTCTCCTAATCACCCCTCCAGAAACCATGCTGCTCAGCCTGGTGAAATGCAGGCCACTGGGTTTGATGAGAGCCAAGCCCAGAGGGGCCCTAAGGATGGGAAGTCACCCAAATCTTCCTCAAAGAGGATGTGAAAACCAGCCTTCTTCATTAATCAGGTGGTGTCAGCGAATCCACAACCTCCCATACCTCTGAGCCAAGCAAATTCCAAACACAGTTATCTCCACCAAGAGTAATTAGCAAGTCACACATTTAATATTGGGGAAGCACGTCAATGTCAGGGTGAGCCATCCAGAGGCTTTCTTTTCTCTCTGCCCTGGGACAGGTGGAGAGCAGGCCTGTCCTCCCACAGGGTGCTTGGAAAGATACAAATTTTATTTCTCCGGAGGTCCTATACTCTTCTTTGCAACTGGCTTGCTGCCAGGAACACTAATCTGATTTCTCAGGCAAACTAATCCTATTTCTCCCTCAGGTGCAAACTTCCCCTCTCTAATCATCCCCCTCTTTGCACCGTTAATTAACAAGCTGCTGTGATCAAGCAATCAAACCTTTTAAGCCCACATTATTATTACAATTTAAATATCTGATGAAAGAACATATACAGTAAGGTATTAGCATATTTTTTCTTTGCACATCCTTAGGTTCACTAATGCATGGGGTGGGAAGTGACTTTGAGTTGGGGAGATACATGAGGTTTTTGTGTGTGTGTGTGTGTGAGTGTGTGTATTTTCATGATCCTTGGCTTAGAATGCACCCCCCTTCCATCCCTCTGCCACCAAGCACCTACTTTCACTCTGAAGATTTTAACATAAATTTCCCTTCCTCAGGGCCTTCCCAGAGCCCCCTACAATCAGAGTCCTTTGCTGTGCATGATTTCTTAGGTCTAGGAGGGTTCTTCCCTGGCAGTTGCCATATTCACCCTACGATACTCTGTATTTATTCTAAAGTGTTTGCTTGTTTCATTAATGCTTGTTGCTCCCATAAAGTCTAACCTCCGGAGAAAGAGATCTTGGTGGTTCTTTTCTATCATTTTATTCCCAGTGAATAGCACAATATCCTGCATGTTGAGGATGTTCAATATCTTTTCACAGAATGATTTAATCTTTTTAAATAGGAAACCCATTATGCATATCTGCAGGTGCAGGTATTCAGGCTCAGAAAGGTAATAGAACTTGCCAAATTCTCTATTATTTGGTACTAGATACCATCAGCAAACACAAATTCCGCTTCTCTTATTTCCATACCATTGTTTACATATTGCTCAATACACACACACACACACACACACACACACACACAGAGAGAGAGAGAGAGAGAGAGAGAGAGAGAGAGAGAGACTAGTTTCCCTGATATTGAGAGAGAATGCACAATGGCCTAATCTGAGACTGTGCCTGGAGAAGAAAGAGAGATCTGAGTGTATTCTGTATAGTATACCGATGGCAGGGTATTTGGAAAATCCTTGGAACTTTCTGATTTCCAATGATTTAAAATATCAAAACAGGTATATTAGTTATTACATATATTCTTTGTAGGAAGCAACCCCACCTTTATATTATCCTTTATTATTGTTTGAGATAATGGGTTTCACAGTATTTACAAGATGCATATATTGTGACCTGAGGTCATCTTTTTATGTCTTTGTCCACATTATGATACTTGTCTCTCAGAGTCTGGCTTATTTTAGTTAACATAATGTCCTCTAGTTCCTGCAAATGACATGGTTTTCTTTTTTCTTTATGGTTGAATAACACTCCACCATTTCTATCTACCGTGTTTTCTTTAACCATTCTTCAGTGACTGGCTCCTGGGCCGATTCCCTGCCTTCGTTCTTCTGAGTGTGTCTTAATACCTATGGATTTGCAGGTGTCTGGTCTGAATGCTGACTGCTCCTCTTTTTGATATACACTGAACAATGGGATAGGCGAGTCATAGGATAGTTGTATTTTAGGTTTTTGGGGAAGTTTTTGTCTTTTCCATTGTGGATGATTCACATTTCCACCAGGAGTGTAAAGGGTTCCTTTATTTCCACGTCTTTGCCAATGTGTATTTCTTCCCATCTTTGGCGACAGTCATTCTAATAGGGTCAGATGGAATCTCAATGTAGTTTTATTTTTGATTTTCCTGATGGCTATAGATCTTGGATATTTTTTTACCTGTTTATAGACAACTTGTACTTTTGAGATGTGTCTGTCTCATTTGGTCGTTTTATATCTTGTGAGTCCTTCGTGTCTGGATACTGGTCCTCTATCAGGTGGACGGCTGGAAGGACTTTCTCCTCTTCTCTGGGATGCCCTGCAGCTCTTGGGATAGCTCCCTGGGTTGCACAGAAGCTTTCAATTTGATGTGATCCTGTTTATTAGTATTGGCTTCTGTTTTCTGAGTGATCTGGGTCCCAATGAGGAAATGGTGACCTCTGCAGAGGTTGGAGTATTTCTCAGGTGTTTTCTTCCATTTGTTTCAAAGTTTCAAGTCTTAAAAATATATTTGAACCTTTTTAGTTGGGTTTTGTACAGAGTGAGACAGAGGTGTCTGATGTCAGTCTTCCACACGTGGATATCTGCTGGGCTTGCTGTGAGTGTTGATTTTGTTCCACTGGTCTACATGTCTGTTTCTAGGGCAGTGACATGCTGTTTGTGTTACGATGGCTCTGCAGCGTATTTTGTAATCAGGTATGGAGATCTTCCACATTGCTCTTTGTTTTCAGGATTGCTTTGGTTACTCTTTTGTGCTTCCACAGGGATATTAGGAGTTTCTAGTGGTGTGAAGAATTTAATTGGTATTTTGGGGGTATTACATTGAATCTGTATATTTTGGGGATAGTTTGGCTACTATAACAAGATTAATTCTTCCATCCTCTAGGTCTTCCTGTCTTCTAGTGTCTTCTTCAATTTAGTTTCACTGTTCTGTAATTTTCATTTTAGAGGTCTTTCTCAACCTAGGTTAGCCTTATTTGTAATGTTTTTTGACTATTGTGAACGAAATTGCTTTCCAGATTTCTTTCTCACAGAGTTCATTATTAGTGTATAGGAAAGCTTTTCATATGTTGATTTTGTACTCTGCAACTTTGCTAAATTCATCAATTTTGGCTTTTGGTGGAGTCTATCAGGTTTCCTAAGTAAATAGGTATATCATCTGCAAACAGGGGTAATATGACATGTCAGGTTTGTCATGGATAGCCTTTATTATGTTGAGGTATGATCGTTCTACACCTAATGTATTCAGTACTTTTGATGTTGAAATCTATCACAGTTTCTTTTTAACATCTATTGAGATGATCACAATATAGTTACCATTAATTCTATTTATATATTGCATTACATTTATTGATTTGAATTGGATGGACCATCCTTGCATCCCTGGATTGAAAACAAATTAATTATGAGGAATAATATTTTTAATATACTGGTGAAATCATTTTCAATTTTTTTTGAGGATTTTTGTATTTGTGTTCATCAAGGATATTAGTCATAGTTTCAGGTTTGTGCTGTATCAGTAACAGGTATTGGAAGACAGATAATATTTGGTTCATAGAATGGGTTCAGAGGGGTTCCTTTCCTTTCTATATTATAGAATATTTTGAGGATCATTGTTATTAGTTCTTCTTTAGAAGTCTGGTGAAATTCAGAAGTGAAGCCATATGGACTTGGGCTTTTCATTGTTTGGAAACTTTTTACCATTATTTCAATCTCAATGTTTGTTATTGATCTATTTATTATTTTTTTGTGTTCTCTTGTTTTAATTTTAGTACATCATATTTATCCTAAATATTTGTTAATTTCTTCTTGGATTTCCAATTTATTGGCATGTAATTTTTCAACATATATATAACCTTAAAGATTCTTTAAATTTTGGTGGTATCTGTTCCAATGTGTTCCAAAGGCTTGTTTTTTCCTACCTCTTATTTTGTTTATTTGGTTCTTTTCTATCTTTATTTTTATCAGTTTCAATAAAGCTTCTCAATTTTGCTTATCTTTCCAAAGTACATGTTCTTTATTTCATTGATTCTTTATATTGTTATTTCATCCCTACTTCATTTATTTTTATTCTGATTTTTATTACTTCTTCTCTTTTACTGATTTTAACTTTGATTATTCTTATTTTTTTAAGACTTTGATGGAAATCATCAGACTATTTAACATGCCTTATTTTAAAGCAACACACATTGCTATATACTTGCCTTTTATTACTGCTTGTTTTTTCTGTATTCCATGTGTTCTGGTATGTTGTAATTACATTTTCATTCAACTTTACATATTTTTAATCATTCTTTTACT